TGTCAACGCCTGGAAGTATGCAGCGCTCAGCCGTTTGCTCCATTCGAAAAGATGGAAGAATAAAGAAAGGAAAAGAAAAGAAAAGAAAGGAAAAGAAAGAGCGGAGCAGGAAGCAGAGACAGAATCAAAGCCTGGAATGGATAGATACACACGAATACGTGTGGCAGAGGCCAAAAGCGGGCAACAAAGAAATACAAAAAACGAAGCCAACTTTTTACCCAGACTTGACTTTGACACATTGGGCCAACACAAACGGCCAACACAGCCACAAGCAGACTGACAGAGAAGGGGACAGGAGACAGGAGACAGGAGACGGTGGATGGAGTGGAGTGGAGCAGAGAGACAGAGAGACAGAGAGACAGAGAGACAGAGACAAAGCCTGGCATAACAAGAAGTGCAACAAAATACTTATTTGTCTTGCACGAAATGGAAATGGAAATGGAAATGAAATGCAATGCAATATAAAAAATAAAAGGAATATCTTCAAGAATTCATAGAAATATGTGCAGAGTTTGCATTGCCGCCGATTTAGGCCAAGAACTCAGCCCAAGCAAAATATTTGCCGGAGTGCGAAACATTTGAAATATTTTCCAAGTGGCAAAAAGTCACAGAAAAAGAAGTGTGTGAGATTTTTGTCTCCATATTTGGGGCATTTTCAAGTGCAAACTTTGTTGGCAATTTCTGCATTAAAGCTGCACTAAATGTTGCTGGTTTAATTGATTTATCTGACAAATGTTTGGCTGTTTAAAGCTTGGAAAAATATGCTGTTTCTGGCATTTATGCTGAGAGAGTATTCATACACTTATGTGCTTGAGCAGCGAATAAAATGAGCGAAAAACACACAAAAAATCTGCTCAAAAACTGATGCCATTAATTTGGCTTATCCGCGGCGCGTGTAATTAACATCAGCTCGAGCCAAGGCCAAAGCCCAGGCAGCAGTCCAAGGAAACACACAAACCAAACGAAATAATTCCAAGAACAATCCGAGCACAATCCGAGAGGCAAAAGCAAAAGCAAAAGCGAACCGAGATTAATGCTTTTAATCGCGATGAAAGCGTGAAATTCTTTTTTTTCTGCAAATTTCTGTGATAAGCGTCAGCGATAAGCGATGGATAAATTGCGGCTCATTAGGGCTGGGCTGGGCTGGGCTGGGTTCGGTTCCAATTGGAGCACAAGTCGAGCAAAAAACTGAGCTATAAAAGCGGCAAACCCTACACCGAAAGAGCACAGTCCAAGTCAGAGACAACTCCAGCTCCAACGAACAATGAACAATCAAAAGAAGATTCTATTGCTGCTGCTGCTGGTGGCTGTGTTGCACAACATTTCAGCGAGGAGTAGCTTCGGAGTGCCGCTGTGGCAATTGCAGTTCCCCGAGCCACCACAGAGCCAGCAACAGGAAGAGCCACAGCCACGACTCCTTGCCAGTGTGAATGCTGGCGGCTATGAGGATGAGCTGCAGCAGCTGCTGCTGCTCTCCTCCGGCCTCAGTCCGGCACAGCTGCTGCAGCGCTATCAGCCACACACTCAGGACGTCACCCATGGCCGCTTCTTGGGACACTTTCCCGGCAAATCTGGCAACGGCGGCACCACAGTCTTTGTCGTGAGTGGACCCATGACTCCGCCGGCGAACGTCACGACTGTGAACAACAATGTGAACAGCCTGAACAATACGGCCAGCCCTCCAGCAGATGCAGCTGGAACAGGCACTCGCTTTGGGCAGTTCATACGCAGTCCGATCGGGTATCCCGCATCCAGTCTGCCCATGCAGTACTTCCGCACGCGCCAGGATGAGGCATCCTCCCAGCTGCCATACGCAGGCTATGGCTGGAATGAGGCAGCGCTCTATGGGGCCGGCCTGGACGGAGGATTGACTGGAGGCCTCTCCCCCCACGTCTTCGGTGCTGGCATGCCCCTGGTGCCCATTACCATTGGCAACGAGGTGCGCTACGTGCCACTCAATCTGCGCATGTTCCGGCAGCTTGCCAGCATGCCGCTGCCTCTGCCCGTTCGGGAGAACGACGAGGAGCGTCCCACCAACGACGAGCAGCTGTCCCTGGCCCTGACCGACGAGGCGGAGGAGCCCGAGGATCCCATTGAGACTCTGGCCACTGGACAGACCCCAACGGAGGGCTTTGCTCGCTTGGGACAACGTCTCAGACAACGTCCCCTGATGAGGCGCAATCCGCTGCAGAACTTCGCCCAGAACATCCGCCGAGTGCAATATCTTTGAGGTGGAACTCTCGACCCCAATGACAACAACTACGAAATGGCAAAGGAATTCTAACATTTAAGCAAACGTTTTTTTTTTTATAAATCTAAAAGCAAATTTAAGAAGCGAAACAAATATTTAGCAGGCAAAAATAAAGAGCAAAAAAGCAAATTTAAAAGGCAAATTAATGATCAAATTTAAAAGCAAATTCAAGGGAAAATAAAGCAAATATGAAATAAAATTTTAAGAAGAAAATTAAGGCAAAAACCAGCAGGTTAGAGGAAGCGTTTTAAAAGCAAATTTGAAAGAAAGAATTTTGAGCAAAAAATCAAAATGAAATGCAAATTAAAATGTAAAATGTAAACGCATTTTTAACAGCAAAATGAACACAAAAAAAGGTTGCATTTGACAGCAAATTAAATTCATCGAAATGTTCGAAAATTCTGTTCTGTTTTTCGAAAAAGAAGTCTTCAAAAAAGGACACAAAATAAATGCAGTAAATGCAATGCAAAAGTTTTTGTTTGTACACCAAACGACTGTCTTCAGCTTCATCTTCTTTATTGTTTCGTTTTTTTTTTCTACTGTTTTTTTCTGCTGGCTGGGCGCAATAATAAAAAGTTGATAAGTTTTGCCATTGGCCGGATGCTGTCAAAGTTTTGAAATTGTGAGGAGTTTTGCTTATTAGCCATAAACATTCGACATGCTCGGAGGCGAACAAAGTTTTCAGCCCAGAGTTGGAGTCAGATAAAAGGATTGTCCCATGAAATGATGGGCGCTAAGTAGATCAACTTCAATGTTGCACTAAAAACAATTCAATCACTCAACCAAAATGGCAAAAAGGGTTAGAGGAGGGGCTGGCAGAGTGCACTCGAGTGCCAGACTGTCAAATTATCTGGCAAATGTTTGTGTGAAGGGAAACGAATGAAGAAATTCCAAAGGCAGAGACTGAGGTTGAGACTGAGACTGAGACTGAGACCAAGGCTGAGCCTGAATCATGAATGGGTTCTGCTGCTGCCTGCTGCTGCCTGCCAGTTAGTTTTCCACCTCTGGCTGCCTCTTCCCCAACCGTTTTGTGGATGTGTCTAATTGATGGCAACATTCTCATGCAATGCCTAAGCTGTCTCTGCCTGTGCCTCTGCCTGTGCCTCTGCCTGTGCCTCTCCCTTTTGCCTGTGTCAATAAAACCAACAGCCAGATGGAACCCCTGCACCCAACATTCAGTTTATACGTAAAACCAGCCCAAAAGTGAGCGACACAATAACAAATTAAATAAATATAAGAAGCTTTTAAGTTAATAGAAAATTCTATAATTGAATTTTCGGAGCGGTGACCCACAAGAAGACCTGCCAGCTCCTTCGTTTTTAATCAGAAATGCATGCAAAATAACAACCGAAAATGGCAACTTGAATGGCTCAAAAAATAACACTTGAACAGGGTCTACAAATTATTGATTGAACATCCCATGGGAAAAATATCAATAAGCATAAACAAACATAAGCATAAATATAAATATAAATATTTGTGTGCACTTTTGATTGACTCGGAATTGTTAAGCAAGTGAAACTGACACTGGAAGGGTGCGTGGAAATATTTTGTTGAACTTTGCTGATGGTTAAATATTCAAATAATAAATTCTGGAAAACTATCGAATATATTAAATTGACTTAACAATAAATGAAAGCATAAAGTATTAGCAACATTTTCAGCTGGCAAACTGAACAAATGGTAGAAAAATGGTAGAAAATTCTTCGGGAGCACGGCGCAAGGCAACATTTCTTGCCACTGTGTGTGGGGCAAGTGCTAAAGTAAAAATAATAATAAGGATAACAGCAAATATATCTATATCTGACGAGGAGTTTAAGGAACGTCGAGCTATTGACACAACACTTTGGATGATTACAGAAAAACATTTGTGCGACTTGTTGGGTGTTAAAGTTGAGAGCTGCTCGACACGAACACGGAGTGAGAGAGGGATGGAGAGACTTCGACTACGTGTCGAAGCAGAGTCCGGAGTATTTCTGGGTATCTTTGTGCTTGTCAGAACTGTCTCTGTGTGTGTGCGTGTGTGTGCGTGTGTGGGTGAGAGTTCTGTGGCAAACACTTTTCAAGATTAAAACAAAAAGATTTAAGTGAATTATGTTAAAGTTATTTGCCTTGTGCGTCTCACGCACTCAGCTCGAAGACGACTCCACATGTAGCCACAGATATGGATAGGAGCTCTGTGGGTGGGGCATGGGTTGCGGCTTAGATGTAGAGATATTCATCCTAGGGCGAGTGCCTGGTCATGTAATATAAATATGTGCATAAAAATAAATAAGTAAATGGAGAAGGAGATGGAGATGGAGATGGAGATAGAGAGAGCCTAGGCCCAGGCACACAGCCTGCTTAAACACAAATTCGTTTATTTATTTATGCAGTAGGAAAATATGTAAGTATACACAGAGATGGAGAGCCTGTTCCGAGTGTTGTATCTGCCACACACAGATTTATTGTTGAGTTTATTAGATTTGATTTACTACACAGCGGCGAGGGAGAGCTTTCACTTTGCTGTAACCATATGACAGGCCGCGACTGTTCTGATCTGTTCTGTTCCCGTTCCCGTTCCCTTTCCCTTTCCCGTTCCCTTTCCAGTTCCCTCCCTTTTCTTTCTTTTGTTTTGCTTTTGCATGTCTCGCCATTAGCCGCACGCAACGCGGGTGAAATTTTTTAATTGCATTTCGATTTTTGGAGGCCAACACTTAGATATAAGAACAGACGTTGCCCGTGCTGGGGCAGACATTGTGCCGGGAAAAGTCGCAGCATGAAGATGCCACAAAGAGTTCGCTGGCTGCTGATGCTCATCGCAGTGCTGCTGCGGGCTGGCAGCAGCGAGGCGCGACGTAGCGGTGAGTCCTCAAGGGAAGCCCAAGATTTGGTTTTCTGATTGATTTTCTTTTTTTCAGGCTATCGACTGCCACAGCTGCAAGGACGCAGCGCAGGCTCCACCGTGGCGGTGGAAGTGGATGCGGCTGCAGCTGCAGTTCCAGACACTGCAAGCACTGGGCGAGATTTTCTTAAGAAATTCATGCTGCTGCGTGGCATTTTTCAGCAGCCGCCCAGCGACAATGTCATCGTGATTACGCAGCCCTCCACGACGACAACGACAACGGCCACGCCCACGCCCACAACGACAACAACAACGACGACAACAACAACGACAAACAGTTCACGAGCGATGGATCATGGCAGAAAGACGGAGGAGCGGGAGCTGGAGGATAATGTGGAAATGGTCGAGCTGGCAGGGCCCACGATGACAGGAGTCGAAGTGCAAGATGGCTTGGACCTGCCATCAAATGAGGCACTGCCGCAGCGCAGGCAAACATACAAACAACAAAAACTGAAGCGCAAAAGGAACTTTCAGCAGCAGCAGCAGCAGCAGCAACTCCGCTCCAAGAAGACCCATCATCACCGTCACGCGCACAAGCCAAAGCAGAAGCAGAAGCAGAAGCAGCAGCAGAAGAAGAACAAGTTGAAGCGGCAAAGAAATCAAAAGAAGCAGCAGAACCATCCGAACCAGCAGCAGCGGCAGCGGCAGCGGCAATCGGCAGTCAATTTCATAGAGCCCTACCACAATGAACCCCAAGTCGTGCAGTCGGTCGACGACTCGCGCTTGCAGCGCATCTGGCGGCGACTGCAGCTCAACAACTGAATAATGCAATGCACACACAAATACATAGAGATGCTCTTTTTTTTTTACTAGCGATTAAGTTATTTACCAAGCAAACAAAACAATATTACAAACAGAACGCAAACAAAGTTTCCTGAAAAAGAAAAAGATGCAACCTTGAAAGTCAAAAGCGTTTATTGCTGCTCTGTCGCATTTCTTGCTTTGTGCATAGGTCATACTCAACACAAGTAACGGTTCTTTACCATGCATTTACCTGGCAGAGAATTGCACGGAGGAAGTGTAAGCGAGAGAGAGAGAGAGAGAGAGAGAGCGCGCTTTCTTTGGCACCTACGCTCTTTGTCTTTAAGTCAGGCATCGGCACGCAGGTACACGAAGTCGAAAAACGTTTCTTGCTTCTCTGCCGCTGCGGCAGCCGATCATTTGTGCATGGACCACTGCGAAGTTGTTTCTCTGCCGCTGCGCATAAGCCGAAGCCACACGAAGCTTTCACGCTGTGCATCTGTGTCGACTGCGCTGCCAGCGATCACTGCCATAAATAATGCAAACTTTGCTTTCCTTTCCTTTGCATAGCATACAACGCTGTCTACAACTTTGATTATTATAAACATGTACACTGGCTCAGGAAAGTCTTTTTTTATTTGAATAAATATTGTAAGCCACAAAAATTCTATAAAACTATAAAACAGGTTTCGGCTTTAGGGGATTCTTTTTAGCAGTTCTTGCATAATTTCTTAAACTAGTTTCCGGTTAGTTTCTTACAGAATTTACATTTTATTTGTATGTGCAAAAGTCCATTAAACATATTTGAAATTGTATTTTGTGATTTCTTTCGAAATGCTTTGACTTTTGGTCGAACCTTTCGAGAGAAAGTTCGCAGACACAAGAAATTTCGTTCCCATTCATTTTTGTAGACTGTTTCAGATTTTCTCGAAGAAATAAATAATAATAAAATAAATCAAATCCACTCTGGGCAGTTTTTGAGAAGTTTTCAGTTTCACTTTGGCACAAAAAGTATTTATTCATAAATACATAAATCCCTTAAAGCACATATACAATGTACAACGTTGTCGACCCTGAGAAACGTCGGAGAAATCCTTTTCCAATTGTTGAAACGGGCAGAGGAATGCGGCTCTTGGATTGGGCCAAGTCAATGACTTGGCGCAGCATTATGTACTTAAGTTTGAACACATAAAAAGGGGCAAAAGGGCAGACACGAAAATATTGCGAACATGATATCCTGGCTGTGGCAAGTTCAAGGATGTCTGGCACGCTCATGAACTCGGACCAGCCACCCAAAACGGAGGAAAGGAGTAAATTGAAGAGAGACCCGACCCTGCCACACGGCGAATTGTTCATTTGTCTGCCATTCGCCTTCGTGGCCTATCCCCGCACCGTCAATAAATACATAAATACATTTTTCAATGCAAGAAATTTGTGTAAATTTGTGGGCAAATCGCGAGTGGGAATTGAACCCGGCGCGACGGCTGCTGCTGGGATCTGCCGGTTTTTTGTTTGTAATTTATGTCTTGATCGAACAGATAGCAGCACCAAGAACTGGTTTCCCCACGGAATTGATACGCTCTGATGAACCTACGACGGGTTAAAGGTCAGTCCACCTTGCCCGAAACGAGCTGGGAGTCTGCCAAGACAAGATCTGGCCAACAGTTTGCAGATCGACACGCGGCCACAGATGATCTTCGATTGATTGTCGGCAGATCCAACGAGAAAGCTTCAACCTGCAGAGAGACAGTTTTCGCAGTCAAAAATTCTGGACAGACATCAGCCTCTTGCTGAAGGATACGAAAAGGTGTCCAGCGGCTTTTGCTGCTGCAGTCTCCAAATTTCCACGATGGTTTCAAACGTGGGAAAATTCTTTTTTAAAGTCTTTACTTTTAATCTGAATAATGCTGGAAGCAATGAATATTTTTATTATTGCATTCGTTAATGGAGCGATGTCTCAGGTTTCCATCCAAAAATCACAACCAATACGTTGAGCCGCGCTCGTCATGACTCCACAGAGTCACTGGCCATGTCAGAACCCGCTCAATGTGTTGGTACGCTGCCGCCTCAACTCTATGCTCGCTTTTGTATGCTTTTTGTGGTAAAACGTAAGGAAAAAAAAAAAAGGAAGCAAAGAACAGAGTGGCAGTGGAGTGGGGAAAAAGGATATTGAAAAAGGCGCCGCATAGAAGAAACTTTTTTCATTTTTAGTTTGTCAAGTTGGCACAAAGGGCGGCGATGGTGATGTCGATGTCGATGCCGATGCCGATGCCGCTCCAAGTTTCTCAACCAAAAGGTTCTGTCAAAAGGAGGGGGGCATAGAGGGGACAACTTAACATTTGCACGCTCAAAAGCGCCACAAAAAGAGCCAAGGATAAAGGGGCGTAGCCGGTCGAAGGGAAGTGCCTAAGTTTTGTACCCGACTTCGATATGCGGCCAGATAAGTACAAGACTGCGGAGGAGGAAAGCGTTTCCCATCCCTGGGAGCAGCACAAACAATGAAATGATTTTATTTTTACTTTGTTCTTTTTTTTCTTTTATTAAATAACGCACATTAGGTGGCAGACTCACATGCGTTATGGAGGCAGACACAAATTGGAGATCGTTTCGCCAGGGTAAGCAAATTAAAATTTGTGTTTAATCTTAAATTAAATACTGATGATCTGTATTTGAGTGTGTGCAGCCGAATTATGTATACATTTAGGAGGTTGAATAGTAATTGAAACTGTTTTTAAAGCATTTGCCACAGTTATTGCTTATGGACTCACCTAAAGCCAAAACACACACACTCAGAGACAGGCCGCTCTGGTTATAAATTATGCACGAGTGCGACAAAAATGAAAGAACCGGAAGCGAGGCAATTCAAAGGGGTTGCGGCAGGTGCGGTTTCATTGCGAGGACAAACAGTTGTGGGGTTGCTGGGTTGGGAGTGGGAGTGGGAGTGGGTGGAGAAGATGTGGCAGATGCCACACAAAAGCAATTGTATAATTGCATTTTAATATGATGACTGCTGCAGTTTTAGTGCCTGCAGCATCAGCAGTACCAGTAATAGACGAAAGAAGTGCCAAAGCCAAAATCCGCAATAGACAGAGATAGAGAGAGAGAGAGAGAGAGCTGTTTATTTTTTTTGGGTAAATTTAAATTTTAAAGTGGAACAAAATAAATGAAAATTAAAATGTGGAATGGAGCATTGGGTGGAACACTAGCTTGTTAGAATAATTGGAACAATTATCTTCGAATGGCCGAAAAGCTTCGACAAACAATGCAGAACTTCGTTGAAGCGAGCGAGAGCAAGCGATCGAAAGAGAGCTTTGGAGCAGGCAGCAGCAGCGAGCGGGAAGCTGGCAGAGCGCGAGAACAGTGCAGCCACGAAGCAGGTGGAAGAGATAGACGAAAGAACGGCCGCTGCAGCGCGCAAGCATGTACATATGTACTTAAAGCTGGGCTACGAAACACGACAGATAAAGCCTGCAGATATGTACGTGCATTTAACAATCTTCCAACAACGTCCAGCAAGTCCAGCAAACAGGAGAGAGAAATTGGCATTATAAATGTGCAAGGTGTTTTAATTAAATGGCAATTGCCGTTGAGCAACAAAGTGCACACACAACTTACTTGCACATATTCCGCACAGCTTACGATGCCCAATTCGAATGCACTTTTGCTTATGCCTTGCCAGTGTATGTGTGTGTGTGTGTGTGTGTGCAGGCAGAAGGTAAATCTCTAAATTAATGCCTGCCATTAAAATGCTTAACACTCGTTGGCTTTCAACCCAATCTACTCAGTTGGTTGGTCAATGTGCATCCCCTACCCCCCTCTACCCTCTACCCATATGCAGTGTAAAAGTAATGGAATGTGCACCTACATACATATATACATTTGTACATACATACTTACATACGTACGAATGTGCACTGGCATTTGCTCTACTGGGCAAACGTTACTGTCGACAGCTTGCGGCCATTGCAAGTAGCTGCGGTGGCTGCTGCGTCTGCCTGTCTGCCTGCCTACCGAATGCAATGCATTTTCAGGCCAGCAGCCATCTTGCAGCTGCAGTCCAACGTAAGCCTAATGTCCGTCCGGTGCATTGTCTGGAACTGTTCAGATATGTTGGCAGCAGATGCTTTTGTAGCACTTTTTATTGTTCCTGTCTGTGGCACAGTCAGGCCTGTGCCAGCTCCCCCACAAAGCGACTTAAATCGAGCCCGAAAGGCGTGTGCTGCTGGGCTTTCACTGTACCATGGTCTGGGAATTACGAGTGATGCTGATAATTATCATGCTGATGATGCATTGAAAATACACTCAGACGGACTCCACAGCAATTGTGCTGACTTACTCGGCCATTTGGCCACTCGGCTGCGGATAAAGCCAAACCACAGACCGACTGACAAGTCGCTACAAGTGGTGCTGCCACAGTGGACAGACGGACGAGGCTGCAATAATTTCCAGCACCATTACGACACACAAGTGCAAGTAAACAAACATTGAGGCAGGCTTAAATGCTAAACCATTTTGCCATGAAAATACCTTGAGCTCTTGACGAAATGCCATGAATTGAGTAACTTAAATATTAACAACACTTTCTTCTAATACTTTGGGCTCTCGCACCCACTGTAGCTTAAAGCGAAGCCGCAACAACAACAAACACACTGCACGCAGAAAGCTCTCTCCCACTGAAAGCTCCCCCTGCTTGCAGAAGACTATTCTCCCAAGCTGAGGTGCGGATCGATCGTGATTCTGCGTGCATTTTCTCTTCACACAACTTTCGTTGAAATCGCAGGGTGGACGCTAAGAGCTAATGTGCTGGATGGATTCATTGCGGAGGAGGGGGCGGCCGCGAACACGAACAAAGGCTGCGCAGGCAGCAATTTAATTACCGCTGCACAATGTCAGTGCGGGGGAGGAGGGCAGGAGCTTCGGTGAGCATTTGCCAGATGGACTCGTGGCTTTGGCTACTGTTGTTTTGAATTATAGCAGCCAGCACATTGCACCCATTTCATTCCACCTCTTGCTCTTGCTCTACCTCTCTCTATCTCTGCTGCTGCTGCTGCTGCTGCAGCTGTTGTTGTTGCTGCAATTATTGTGAAAATAAAAGCAAATCGGATAAAAATTTTACAGCCCCGTTGCCGTTGCCGTTGCTGTGGCAACGTGCAAAAACCGCTCAGATTCTAACAAAAGATGCATCCGCTGGTAAGCTGGAACCGCCGCACGGGCTTGTCCTCCAATTCCAGTCCCCCGCCACTCATCACTGCACCTCACTCATACCCCACCCCCTACTCATCACCCACCCAGCATCATTCGCCATTCTCCATCCGTTCGTCCTCCTCCCCCACGCTTCGCTTAACTAATTAGAGCGTGTGAGAAAATGCGCAAAAAGTGTAGTCCAGAAGAGCAGGAAAGAGAGAGAGAGAGAGAGAAGCAGGCAGGCGATGGATGGTTGAGTAGGGTGGCGCATCCCTGCCTCTCATTTCCATGTACTTGCAACAGCCACATCCAGGGGGGGGGGGGGGGGGGGGGGGGGCCATGACATGTTGTTGCATTGCACAACGGATTCACCGTTGGAATTGTGTTTGAATTATGTGTAATTAAATTTCAATATTACTCATGTTTCAAGAAGCAAAAAAAAATCAACACCTGCCCCACGCCCAAACGGATGCCAACGCAAGACAGTTACAACGGACTGGCAGGGGGGAGGGATCTGTAGGGTGTGGGTGCGGGTGGGGCTTGCCTTCCCGTTGAAGTGCACTTGCAAATCAACAGAGTGAAATAATTCCCGAAATTCTCTTGCCACTCTTTATGGCATTCGTCGTTAATGGTAGTTTCCTTTTCTGCACTCCAAATTCGAATTGGAACTAGAAGGGACGTGTGAGACGCTTCTTACGCGTCACAACTCTTATACCCGGTACTCAGTAGACAACTGCACCTTAGCGGTTTTTCGTCAAATTTTAAATTTTTTCTTCATCTGTCATCTTTCCAAGACCCACACTGCATAGTCCCGGCAGAGGCAGAGGAACGCAAGAGGCAGAGGCCGCACACTGCAGAAGCAAAATGTGAATGAGAGAATGTGGCAAAAACAAATATAAGCTGCAGGACGGGGTGGGTTTAGCCACTGCAAATTAATTTCTTCATTGTGGCTATAATAATGATCGGATCCCAATTTTGTGATCTGATAGATATGTTCATTCCCTACAGAATGGCGTTTTTGGATTTATTTTATCTTTTATCAAAATTGTAGATTTGGGAGGTTTTCGCCCTTTTGCGGTGGTTTCAGTGTGAGCATACAGCAGTCTGGAGCCAAAAATTTTGTGGCTCTAGCTCTTATAGTCTCTGAGATCCAGGCGCTCAACAAGACGGACGGACGGACAGACAGACATGGCTCAATCGACTCGTCTATTGATATACTTTATGGGGTCGGAAACGCTTCCTTCTGTGCGTTACATACAACCGTTATTCGCAAAAATACAATATACCCTATTTACTCTTTGAGTTCCGGGTATAATAACATCTTCAAATATACTAGAACACAGAATAGCACCAGCTTGGTAAGTGTTTAATGGAATTTAAATCACTTTATGGAGATTCTTGCCATATACACGTTTTTACAGGCGCTTTTGGACTTCTTTCCTCATTGACGGATTCGAGAAACTTCGCAAAGGACAAACCCACAAAAAACCTACACATTAACCAATTCAAATCACTTTAAAACATACTTCTGGACACTCAATAAACGGCTGCAGTGCTGGTACATCAACAATAATATTCAATATGTTAATTAAATATGAGAAGTAATTAATACTCCGAAAGTAGTTAAAATATTATATTCATTTCCATAGCATTTCATCATCTGCCACATTTTTGGTGCATTAGCAATCATTATTCTATAGCTACATACATTCCATTAGAACAACACACACAAGAGGTTGCCTCAATTTTTAAATTTATTTTCTAGGCAAATATTTGCCATAGTTCGAGAGTCAAAAGACGTTTAAGTACAATTTTGTGTCGATGGACTCCGATGGACACTTTATAAGAAAATAAAATAACGGAGTTCACACATGTTTATTAATAACGATTAGGTCATTAGGTGGCGTCTTGTCGAGTAGAGGTAAGAGTTCAATTAGGTCATAGTCCATCGGGCTGAGGATGACTAGGGTGTGTCAACACCTCCTGTCTCCTGCGAACAATCGCAACCAGTGCGTATTGTTAAACGGTTCATCATATTATTTATGGCCTCAAAAGCGTTATTAAACATGTTTATTATACGTGATTCGTTGGCGTCAACACAACTGCGTCAACAAGGAATACTGCCATGTAAAAATTAACAAACACACGCAATACTTATTTATTTTCTATTTAATTTATTTATTTATTTTATCTGAGGCGTTTGTATAAACATTGACGAATTTTACGCTTTACTAAAGAAACAAAGTAATATATTACTGTAAAGCCTAGCAGATGACTTCAACTGTGATATTCTTAGAGAACCCCGATTGACAGATGGCATTTTGAGTTTTGGTTTGAATATAGTGTCCACCAACCTCATTTTAATGCGCTTGTGCTCCTGGCTGCTCCAGCAGACAAACCGAACATCTCTCTGAAAAAAAAGGAAGGACGTTTGAGACGCTTCTTACGCGTCACAACTTTTGTACCCGGTACACAGTAGGATATCTTCATTCTGGCTATAACAATGATCTAATCGGATTCCATTACGGTTATCTGATAGATTTTGTAATTTCCTACAGAATGGCATTTTTAGTTTTCTTTTGTCTTCAAAATTGTGGGTCAACAACGATCAACACCACTTATCTTTAAGAGTTCACCTCCTTTGTCATTAAAGGATTCGAAGGTAACTTGCATACGGATGTTATTTACACTGACTTTAGTAAGGCATTCGATTTTGGAACCCACTTCCTCCTGCACAAAAGCTCGACCTTGAGATGGATTTCTAGCTACCTGTGCTCTAAGTCTCAAAGAGTCCTCTTCAAAATCTCCTTATCTTTGCCTGTTATGGTTACTTCTGGAGTACAACAGTGCAGCCATTTAGGCCCCTTACTTTTCACACTCTTTATTAATGACCTGCCTTCTGTATTAACACATTCTCGAGTACCTATGTATGCGGATGATGTTAAGCTCCGCGTCCAGTATAAGGACACTTCATCTCACTCTGGCTTGCAATCAGATCTCAATAGCTTCCAGTCATGTAGCTGTGCAAACATGTTACACCTTAATGCCTAGAAGTGCAATGTAATGACTTTTTATCGCTCCAGTCCCTTACTGGCTCCTTAGACCCTCTGCGGTAGTTTTCTTGAGAGAATTACATTGGTTGATGATCTAGGTGTGAATGCGCCTGCGTTTCTATTATTTTTTCCGCCACTGTACAGCCGTTATTCGCACAAATACAATATACCCTATTTGCTCTTCGAGCACCGGGTATAATAAATGCGCCAACAAAATATTTGAACTCAAATAAAGCCCTCGAAAGGTAATTGGGATAGTTTAATTGTAAACTAAAGTTTATTAATATAAAAGATACAAAAAATAGATAAAACTCATCAAGAAACATTTTGAGAAATAAATTGAGAATTGAAATTACGATTTTGGCTTAGCAATAAATTACGTAAAATAACGAGACACTTTGGAAGCGATTCTTTCAAAATTAAATTCAAAATTGAACGCAATAATTAAATTTAATTTATTTAAATATTTACTTATTTCGAGTGCCTGAGAATAAAATATCTGCGAGAGTTTATTTTATTGAATTGTGTCTCAAACTTTCAATATTTAAGTTCTATAAGTACTTAATTTAATGTAATCTATATTTAGTTTAGGGAATTCCTGAGTATAATTATTGTCTCAAGAATTGAATGTACATTTGGAAGAACACATGGCTTTATTTAATACATTTGTAGATGTTGATGTAAATTACATTCCAAAAAATATTAAATATTTGTATTTTCTCTGCAATTTGTATTGTAAACATTATAAGTTTCGATTGTGTTTGTATGTGTTCGAATGCTGTTTTGTTTCTCTGGGAATTGTAAATTTTGTAAAACTTAATTTGCGTTTGACATAAATTCATTTGTTTGGTTGCTGGCTGGTGTTCTTTTTTCTTGTTGTGTGCCATTATTTGTGAAATTAATTAAAATTCAATAACAAAAGCGTTGAATGTGTGCCGAGTAAGAGCAGCAACGCCAAACGCAAATTTTGACGAGTACAGAATATTTATAGGCATACATAAATAATTGCTCGCAAACGTTACGCAATGGCAATTGATTTACAAAATCAATTAACTTAAATCAGTAGGCATCCAGATAACAATTTTAGTCAAAGATTTATGTAAGAAAAAACAATAAATAAAAATTTAGGCAAGTTCCTTAGCAAAAAAAAAAAGGCTGCGCTTGCTGATGGTTCCGATTGCGAATTGGATGGGGCTGTCAGCCAGAATGTTGCACTTCCTTGCCGCAAAAAAAAAAAACAAAAACATATTTAAAGTATATATTTGCTAGTTGTAATAATTATTTGCATTCAAAAATATTCAATCAATAATTCACTTACATTCGCCAGCCTCAGTCACATCATCATTTCAAGCAGCTCCTTTGGGCTCAGTGCAAGTTCTCTTTTTGATTTTCACACGTTCGGCGATTCTATTACAAAAATATACACAAATAGAATGCAAAGCTTATGATTTCACATCTTATATTAACTTACGATTCGAAAAAATCCGGCAGTTGGCTAGCAGCCTTGTCCTCACTAAAAATATACATTTTAAGATCCACTTCTCCACCGATCTTTATTTACTTACGTGTCCGTAGAAGTAGATGAATCAAGGCTGTTCGAGGAAGCCATAAACAAGTCGGTTCGCACTCGAATTTGTGGCTTTGAATTGCCGCTTTTAAATCGAATTGAAATAAAGTTAAACAATTAAATAAATAAAGGTTACGATCATGTATGATTGAATGTATTCTTCTAGTACGCCTTTTGGCATTCGTTTTATGTTTGAATGCTCCAATTTAGCCACAAGCGAGGCTCGAGGCTCGAGGCTCGAGTGCCCGGCAAACTGTTACCCCAAAATAATTACTCACATCTCGAGTCCTCTTGCAAATTCCTTAATTTCTTCAAGGGTTGTTAACCCCAGCCTGCGGGCGGAAAATATAAAATTAGACTCCAGCTTGGCTGCCAGAAGGTTTGCGCTTACGCAATGAGATGTTTTTCCTTCTCTTCAGCACTCATGCGATGATGATAGCCTGGCAGGCTGTGGGAATATGTAAAGTAAGTTAGAGACTAAATGGAGGCTAAGGGACTAAGCAATGGCTGCTTACGTCAAGGATAGGGACAGTGATCCACGTGCATCCGACGGCAGCGATCTAAGGAAGAAAAATTCAGCCACAAAAGTCGAGAATTATTTGTGGCTTTTGGTGTGTTCATTTTTCCACGCACTCTCCGGATGTTGTTGGTGTTTCCTGACTTTGACTAGACACCGCGATTGGATTCATTTTTAATTGTTAACTTTGCACGTTCTGAGGCTTTCACGTTGCACAAAAAAAAATGAGCCGATGCTCTCAATAACCGATATCAAATATCGATAGCTTCTTTTTGGCAAAAAGCATGCAGGGTACTTTGGTTGGCTTGAATTTCAATTTAAATCATTTAAATAATTATTTACGTGGCCAGCTGCATGCTGTCTGCATTCTGCCAAATAAACTGTAATTGTAAATAAACATCGACTTTAAAAATGATTTATGTGGCCAGGCCAAGCCAGAAGCCCGGATCTCTTTGTGTGCAGACATAAAGCATAATGGCCAATGGATAGGGCAGTTCTTCTCGATAGTTCTGTTCCGTTTACCATCCCTGAAAGATGGGCCTATGTGTGCGTACACACATGCAACTTCTTTCGTGCACACACTTCTGGTGCCCAAATGCGATTAAAATATGATTTTAATATGGAATTCCTTCATTTGTTAGCGCATTGAAAATTCGCAATAATCTCTCGAAATGTGGCGTTTTTTTTTTGCTGCTGTCAACAGCGCCGTCTGGCGCTCCGAATTCATTTGTTTTTGTTGTTTTTTGTTGACCACTTTTTGCGGATATCATAAATTGGTTCGCCGGGGCGACATTTCCCATGTGGAAAATTGAAATTTGTGTGTGTTTGTGTTTTTATTTATTTGTTGTTTGCGGCCACTGCAACAAGCGGCATAAATGGCTGGGAGTCAAGATGCCAGAAGCAGAAAACCCTTTCAAATAGTTCTCCAAATAATTGTAGGCATGCCGCAGCCGCAGACTTCAAGTTAGATTTAATTAAATTTATAATGCATTCCCTTTCAATTTGATTTATTTTCGTTTTATTTCTATCTCCACCCCGTTTTATCCTGAATTGACATAATGGCCAAATAATTTTCCACTTCGATGCGCCTTTGGGGGACAGCGAGGAGGAAGTGGTCGGGCCATTGAAAATATTCAATTTTCGCATAGGTTTGACAACCATCGAGTGACATCACATTTAATGCAAAATGTTCAATTTTCAAATGCTGTTACGACTGTCAACATTAATTTGCTGTGCTCCACTCCTATGCCGATATCGCGGCAATTAATCAAGCAAATGAGGCAACTGAACTGAAATCTGGGGTCCCAGCCAAGCTGAAAGGATAATTTGGCACATAAAAAGGGTGTAGCGAAAAGGTCGAAATGGAATGGAATGGAACCGTCTTCAAACCCATTGAAGGGTGTCGCCTAATGTCGTTGTCAAGTGACGACTGAGCAGAGTCCGGCCCCAGCCAAAGACTTTTTTCTTTCTTTTTTTCTATGTTTGTCTCTTGGAGTTTTCCCTTGTCTGCTTGGGGGCAGTCAGTCACTGTTGCTCTCTGGGGCAATAGCAGGGAGAGAGAGTTCCATTTATCAATTGATTGACTAGATAATTGCCGAGCAAAGTGAAAGATAAGCGAAGAGACAGGCGGCCGGGCCGGGCCGGGCCTCCGTTCGCAGCAGTTACTAATGATCCACAGGCTCGGGGGCTAATCAGCTGCTCCACTCCGGGTTCAACTTTAAAAAAGAAATAAAAACAAATTGAAACAAAAGTTGCCTGCAGCTTTGACAAACGCCAGTCCATAAAGCCATAAATGTTCAGCCATAAATTATGCTGCCAAAGGGACTTCGCTGTCGCTGTCGCTGTCGCTGGTGGCTGTGGTGCTGTTTCGATTGCTGACATATGGGAAAATGCAGTTTGCTGTCACTCGGAGTAGCCCTGACGCTGGCGGGGAACTCCATTAGTTTGCCATTTATTGTTTAATCATTGAGCTCTGCCTTTGTTTATTTTCACTGAATGCAGTTAAAGATGTTTACTTGTTGAGTGTTTTTCTCTTGCATAAGAAAACTTCTGCGCGGGCCTTGAATAATGAATACTCAAAGAATAATAATTGAATAATAATTGTTTATTTAGAGTTAGTTTATTTGTTGCTTCCATTTCATTTGAAACACTTAAAAACAGAACCCAATTAGACAGGAAAAATACAAAATTAATTAACAAAAATGTCCCTTTGCCAATTGCAGCGCAGTCAAGTGGCAGTTTGCGGTGCCCAAAAAATTGATTCACTTAGCATTCGCATCAGGGCGACACCTTCGCCAGCAGCCAGCAGTTCCCGACTCGATCTCGCCGTGATAGAGTGCCGCGACACTGAGTAATCTATTTTGTGTGTGACACCCACTCACACACACACACACATGCGTCCTCCCACTGAGCTCGGAGTCAGTCAGTCTCTCTAACACACTAATAACGGCATATAAAGTCGCTCGCACACGTATCACAATGTTCCACCTCTCTTTGTTGTTTTGTTTTCTTCTGTTTTTTTTCGGCTTCTCTTTTGTTTTTGGTGTTTTTACAACACGGCCAGCATAACAATGTCGCAGAGCGCACGAAAAATTGCAAGTGGACACATGAATTATGTGCAGCACTCGAGTTAAACAACCGCCGGGCAGAAGCCCCTGCAGCAGCCTCCGCCGCGACAGCCACCCCGATACGACCACGACCACGAGCACTTGCCATAGCCACTGACTCGGTGGCTCTCCCTCTCCCTCTCCCGCTGCCTATGACTCTGCTCCGGCCAGCCTGCTGGTGGTGGTCCCTCCACTACAGTGGCGGGCAAACAAAAAGCAATGCCCGCTTCCTACTGAATGCACGAGTACTCAGAGAACGCCCAACTCCCCACCCCCACCCACACTCTCCCAACCAAGTCCTCTTGTTGCGTTTTGGTTGTATTTTTTGTTGTTGTTTTTTTTTTCATACACACATGTGCTCGGTTTTTGTTGGCTGCCCATTGGGGACGCGTTAGTGGTCCGTGGCCGGGTCCCCAGTCCCGGATGTGCCCAGAGAGAGAGAGAGAGAGAGGAGAGCGAACAGAAAAAAGGAAAGGAGAAGAAGCTGGGAATGGGGTAGTGAAGTGAAGTACAATGTTGACTTCGCCTGGGCTTTGGTTTGTTTTTGGAGGTCACACACACACACACACACACACACACACACACGAATGGGTGGCCATTTGGGAGTTGGCTTTGCAGGTATTAAATTATACATCATTTTGCAACAAATGATGGTCGTTACGTTTTGTTCCCTATCCACAAAATAAAACCCAAGTCCAAACTCAAACCCAAACTCCAGCGTGTCCCTGGCGGCCCTTCTTATACCCTCAAAAGAGCAACGAACATAAACCACTTGGACACGAGAATGTCCCATGGCAGACGCAGTCATTACTTGGGGAACAAAATGCCGAGCTGAGTAGTGACAAAAAAAAACTGCGCGGTGTTCGCTGTTCAGTCCGCGATCTACATATGTTCTCTCTCTCTCCATTCACAGGGCATCCGCACAGTGTCTGCCGCCACATCGGTTAATGATCCACAAAGCGCAAAAGGAAAAGAGCAGAAACGGTTTGCCCACAAAAACTTTCGAAGCCAGTCTATTCCCCGGCAACGCACACAATCTAGCAGTTAATAAGCACAAAGAAAAAAAGAAGAAGGCGGAAAAACGGAGAGAGTCTTTGGCTCCATGTGGATGTGTGGATGTCACTTTATTATTTTTAGAGCGGGTAGAGAGCGAAATGATTTAAGCTGCGACTGCAGGAAGGCATATAATCGATCTTAATTACATTTTGTATGGCAGGATGAGACAGGATGAGTGTGGGTTGGGTTAAATCTGAACGTGTGACTACACACACGCTGGCACACACGCACACACACTTGCACGACTTCCGTTAAGCGATTAAAGCATTATGGCATCATCTCCATTTCCTGTTCCTGCTCCACAGCGACAGCGCCTCCTGCCACCTTCCACCTTCCACCTGCTCCTGCTTTATCGTCGTCTTGGCAGTCGTTTCGTGATGAGCATTTTATATTTTTATTTATCCGGCTCCGGCTCTGACTCTGACTCTGACTCTGGCGCATTGAATTGAATTTGCTTTGAATTGCAATCGCTTTAAATGCTGCCACACAGCCACACTCATTGCGTATCATTTTAATTATGAAACAACAAATGGCAGAGCAAAAATAAGAAAAATAAAAATTGTTTACTGTACTTGTACTGTCTTTCCCAACTTTATAGTTAAAATTTGCACAAATATTTCCCTGATCTGTGACAGTTTTGAGCGCTTAAACGCTCCTTTTCGGAGGCTGCCATGGTCTCGTTTCTACACATCCCACAGCCAGGACTATTCGCAGCTTAACCGAACGGGGGACTCTATGGGGAATGCACACGGGGATTCCGGCTACCAACTTCTTCTTTGCAACCTGCATTCCGGGGTTGACTTCCCCCTTTGCCCAGGGATTCTCGTCATTCGGCTTGTTCCGGCTTATTGCAATTTGCCGCGCTGAATGTTTCATTTAAAGTCCACACTGCGGTGAGCC